TGCATCCGAAGGTAAAAAGCAATTTGGGTGATAGTGATCATGATATGGTAATTTTTTGATTCTAAGGAAAGGAAGGTATAAGAGCAGCAGAAACAGATAATGGACTTCAAATAAAGCAGACTTTATCAGACTCACAAAACTGATAGCTAAGGTCCTGTGGGAAGGAAATCTAAGGGAAAAATGAGTTCAGGAGATCTGGCTGTTTCTCAAGGAGACATTAAAGGCAGAACAGAAAACTATTCCAATGCAAGGAAAAGATAGGAAGAACAATAAGAGAATGGTGTGGCTCCATCAGGAAGCCTTCAGGACCTGAACAAACAAAAAGGAATACTATAAAAACAGAAACATACTTTAATTGGTAAGGAAAAGTACAAAAGAACATCATAGTTTTGTAGGGGCAAAAGCCGACAGGCTAAGGTTCATAAAAAGTAATGAGTGTTTTTAAGTACATTATTTGGAGCAAGAGAAAGAAAAGGGAAAGTGTAGGTCCTCTAATTAGCTGTGAAGGAGAGCTATTAGCTGATGCCATCAAGAAAACTGAGGTGTGTGATGCAGCATATTTTACTTCAGTCTTCACCAGAAAAGGTTAATGATGATCAGATATTCAACACAGGGCCTGAATAAATACACTAGTGTGACTTTTAAGAACTAACTGAAGAAATCTTGTTCACAATCATCTTTTGAGAATGGAGGACAGAAATGGTCCCAGAAGACTGAAGAAGGGCAAATATAGTTCTTACAGTAGAACCTCAAATATTTGAATGCCAGAGTTACAGACTGACCATCACATGGTCAACCAGACAACACTGCTGTCTGATGTGAAACCAGAAGTAACCAGAGGCCTCCTCCTTCCAAAAAAGCGAGTACTCTACTGTTCCTGTATTGTATCTTAATGGTAGACACACCCGGACAGCCTACCCAATCTCCTCCCACCACATGCACACACATGTAGGGGCTGCTAGCCCATGACAGCCAGATCTTGCACTTTCATCTCCCCCCTGGCCAGGAGAAGAACATGATGTTTATATTAAAACATAATACACACACTATATATCTCTCCTTCCTCCACTCGGTACCGCAAACACCGAAAGCACAGATGTATTCAGCACCCGCAGGTTTTATAGTGATACCTCCACTGCCCCCAATACCGAGATACGCGACCGAGGCAGACGGTATTGTGCTCCCCATTATTTGGTACTGATGTCATACCATGTTATGGAGGTTCCATACTACCATTCACACCAGCATCGCTAATATCAGTGAGGTGTAAAGGTGATGATGAGTAAGGGGCCAGCACAGAGTCTCTCAGTACACTGCCCAGAACTGGCAGATGACCCAATGGGTACCCCCACTGCTCCCACCTCAGGGGCTCTATGGGCACCCGAGAGCACCCTCTAGAAATAAAGTATAACAAACCCTCTGAGTACCAAGGGCTCAGTCAGTTGACGCACACATGCGGGATGGGTTCACTACAGCCTAGGCACTCATGACAGCAAGTCATTGACGAAGGAAGCTACACAAGATTGCTTATCCCTCCTAGTATGTCCTGTGCAATGATGGATGATCATCGCCTACCTATATTACCTATTGGAGGTGCGGGCTATAGCAGGTTTTAAGACCTATTCCACAGGGTCACAAAGACTCTAGTAAAACTCCTGGACATAAGGCACAACAAACACAAGCATACTTACCTAACCTCAGCAACAAAATTGGCTCTTCCAATGACTGAGGCCTCAATGGCCCAGCTAAGGTCATATGGAAGACCCCTGCATCAGTACCGGTGACTTCCAAGTAAATACAGTAGACTTCCGATAATCCGGCACCTTTTGGACCTAGGTGGTGCCAGATTATCAGATTTGCCAAAGAATCAGGAGGTCCGGTACAGCTGCACGGCTTAACAACTGGCCAGGACACAATCTTCCCCTCTCGCCCCTCCCCTTTCCTCTTCGCATCTCCTCCGTGCTGTAACCTGATCCTCCTCCCCTACCCCTCCCCTTTCCCCTTCACTGAAGCAAAACGCTCTTCTCCATACGGTAACACAATCCCACTCCCTCTCCCTCCCTCCCCCAACCTTATGCTCCCTCTGGTTACAGCCAGCACGGGTGCTGAGTGGCAGGCTTTTTAATCAGCTGGTCAGGAGTGCTTGGCATTTTGATGCTAGAGTATCAGGAGTGCCGAACAGTTGGATGCTGGACTATTGGAGTTTTACTGTAGATGAGAAATACTATATAACACCTATGGGGGTAGAATGCCTATTCTCATACCCTTCACCGAATTTGTTGATGGTAGAGGCTGCCACTCTGAGGTACAAGCAACAACACTACCCCAGAGCACAGAGACGGCACACCTTTTTCGACAAAGGATTTGTCGACAGATACTGTCAAAAAAGAGTATCTAGACTACAACCAGTACTGTCAACCAAGCAAGCTGCTTTTTCGAAAGAGAGTCTAGATGCTCTCTTTTGAAAAATCACCGTTTGCATGCAGTAGCGCCTTTTTTCTTATCTTTTTACTATAAAAAAGGCATTATTCCTCGTAGAATGAGGTTTACCGCCATCGACAAAACTGTTGCATTCTGTCGACTTACTGTCGACAGAACGCGGCAGTAGTGTAGACGCAGGTATAGTTTTGTCGACAAAAGCCCACTTCTGTTGACAAAACCCTGTAGTCTAGACACACCCTAGATGATAGAGCATGGATGCTATGGGAGCAAAGGGATACCCCCTCAGTCGTCCTTCAACCAGAATTGCTAATTAAGTAGCTTTAGTAGCAAAATATTCACAACAGACATCTGGGACCTTCAATTCCTTTATTCAGTATCTACAGGAAGAGATAAAGGAACAATTTGAATCAAATGTGATGGAAGGTTTCTGATCTCCCGCAGAGCATTACAAGCAGTGTTGGATGCTGCGGATGCAGCAGCCAGGTCCATGCCAAATGCAGTAGTGCTAAGGAGAGTGGCATGGCTGCAACTGTCCAGGTTTTTCCCAAAAAGGTACAATCAAACATAGAAGCTCTTCCATGAGAGGGGGCTTCCAGGCGTTAGGGATTCAACTGTCTGGATGTAAGAAGAAACTATACAAACACTATAATCACAGGTTCAAAACAACAGGGTATGACCACCAACAAAGGCCCTATGAGAATAAGAGATGTCCAGACAATCTAAACAAAGACAATTGAGTAAACATCCTCGATCCAGGGGTCCAACTCTCGTCAGCAAATTTGTGACGTTGGTCGAGGTTACAGTGGGGCTTGGAGATGGAGTGGTAAACGAGAGACAAGTGGGTTCAATGGTGGGATTTTTTAAACATCAAGAAGAGTGAAACATGCTTGTATTGTGAAAGGAAAGAACGAGAACAGAGTGAGTGATTAAGGACAATAATTCTATTTTGATTAATTTATTATGAGCATATGTATGTGCTCTGATTATAATAGGAATTTAGTGCAAAGTTTTGAGCCACTGACCTCATTTTTCATGTATTAATATAATCAACTGTGATGTAAGGCAATATTAAAATAACTATATAGATAAGTGAGGTGCAGAGTGATTCTGAGGTGTGATCAGAATTGCACAGAAAGTGTGTACCAGAGCCAGGAATAAGTCCAAGATCACCAATATTATATTCGTAACATAATCATGGCCCTTATTTTAGATCACATCAGATGAGTTGAAACTGTTCTGCCCCTGTCAGACTTGTCTAGAATCTATTCTCTCTAACAGCAAGGATGTAATTGCAAGGGTCACTTACTCATCTACTTATTTTGGAAGGAATTGAATCATATACTCTTGCATCATATCCTCAAATCCTATAGCACCTATGGAACAAGAAAAGATGTTTGACTAAAATTTAGTCTACATACAAAGTGCATCTGAAGAATTGACTTGGTATCTGTATTTCACATCTATTTATCCAGCACAATCATAACATCTTTAGTTTTTAGTAACTATGCTTTCCTGTTGGCTTTTATACTATAATAGACAAGGTTTTATTTGTCACAGAAGCTACACTTCTGTGGCAAAGCTCTGGGAACTGCCTTCCCACCCTCATTCACTCCACTCAGATATTAAAAACATACCAGACAGTAAACAACAAAAGCAAGGAAATGAAAAGGTGAGCAACTGTGCAGTACATTTCTGTACTCCTCCACACACCAGTACACATCCTACTATTATCTTAAATAATGTAAATGGGCAAGTGCATTCCTTAATGTAATCACTCCATACACTCTTAAGGGCTTTGAAGGGTAAAACTACAGTACCACCTAGAGCTCCACCAGCAAGCTTTATAACAGTCTTGAAGTAGAGATATTATATGTTCCTTGTTGAAGCACTGATTAAACAAGTAGGTGGCTGTCTTTTTGACAAATTTAGTAATTCTATAGCTTTTACCACAGTAAAAGAATACAGCTATAGCTATACAATATTTTTCAGGTAGTTTCCATAGGGCCAGAAAGGGGAAGAAAATCAACTGCTCTATCCCGGCCAGTTTCTCCTTTATCTGACACCAGGCTCCATGGACCATGCAGAAGAGTCTTCACAGGGTCAGAAAGGAGATGGGTCTGATTTCTTTCTTCATGAATTAAAGGTCATGATACAAACAATTATATTTTCAAGATAACCCTTTATTTACCGGAATGGTATTTCCACATGTCAAGTTAAATTTGCTGCGAAATGAACTGATTTCTGTAATTTCACTAAGAGGCTTCCACCTACATTATCAGCAAAAACTTTCACAAAACTTCACTGAAAAATCACGTACATGCAACTTGTGCCTTTGGTAGTACTGACATGCTAATCATAAGCGAATAAAAATGTTGAATATAGATATCTAACTCTAAATTGTATCTTTTGTAAAGAAACTTTATGAAAAATTGTTCTTAGCAAGCTGTAGTGTAGCAAGCTCACTGACGCAAAATTGACAATTTACTGGGGAAAACCTTGCAGAGGGAAGACCAAGAGTAAAATATGATATTTTAATAAAATTATCTTCTTGTTCATAGGGGCCGTGGAGGAGTACCACCCCCACCAGCAGGTGTACCAAGAGGAGCACCAGCTCCCAGGGGAGTACCTCTCAGTAGAGGTACTGTCAGTCGTGGTCGTGGACTCCTAGCCCCTCGATCAAGAGGAGTAGTACCTCCACCTGCAGGCTACCGGCCTTTGCCACCACCCCCAGCACAAGAAACGTATGGAGAATATGTAAGTGAAACCTTTCACCTAGCTGTTGACAGACCGAGCATAATCTGTATTATTCTTTTAACAGAAGATTGCAACTATTTTAGAATTCAGTAGAAGGTCTTAATTCTGCCTTTTGCTAAACCTCAGACCTGAAATCTGCACCAGACTTGGTAGTCTCTCACCATTTTCACAAAGATTTAACAATATACTGGGTGTCTTATTATTAAATGTTAGCAGTTTTACAGATTATTATACTTTGAATTACACCTCGAGATATAAATAAATCTATCCTGTAGTTGACAATTCTTTTAATAAATCATACTGCTTTTTTCTTTCTTGGGCATACTAACTTTTATAATGCTCAACACTATACAATGGGTCAGTTGTCTAGTTGTAAGTATGAATTAATTAAGTTCTACTTGAATAAGCTGTAAGAAAAATGTTAATTATAGGTTGTAATGCAAGTGGTCTAAAAATCATAGTCAGCCAGCCATACTTTTTTTCCTTATTTATCAGAATCACAGTGTTATGTCTCATTCATTGAAAAGCTTCTAATCTTTAAAAATATTTTTAAAATATGAGATTTAAAAGAATCCTGAATCTTTAATGCTGGGCTATAACTCTCACAAGTTCCACGTGAAAACAATTTAATCTGTTTATAGGATAGGTATTCAACATTTTGACTAAAAGATAGATGGCTTTTTTTTTCTTCTTTTTTTGTTAACTTGTAATTTCAGGGATAATTAAAGTAGCTTGTTTTTAATATAGTTCTCAACCATTACTTGATAAAAGCTATTTAAGAACAAACTTAATTTTGACTACATACATACACAAAGCTAATGGTTTGAAAAAAAAGCTCATTAATCCATTTACTATACAAAATAAAAATTGATTCAATATTAAAGACTTTTTACATAAATTTTCAGGTACATCAGACTGGTTATACTTGGTCAGACCAAAGGTCCATCTAGCTCAGTATCCTATCTTCCAATAGTGGTCAATGCTAGGTACCCCAGACAGAATGAACAGAACAGGTGATCATCACGTAATCCATCCTATCACCTATTCCCAGCCCGGAACATCATCCTTACCTATCCCAGTTAATAGCCTTCACAGCATCCGCTGGCGGGGAGTTTTACAGGTTCACTATGTGTTGTGTGAATAAATACTTCCTTTTTTAAAAACTTGCTGTCCATTAATTTCATTTGGTGACTCCCAGTTTGAGGTATGGGAAGGAGTAAACAACTTTTTTTTATTTTACTTTCTCCACACTAGTCATGATTTCATAGACTTCAATTCTATTCCCTCTTTAATTGTCTCTTCTCTAAGATAAAAAGTCCCAGTCTTATTAATCTCTCCTCTTATGGCAGCCATTCCATACCCCCAATTATTTTGTTGCCCTTTTCTGAACCTTTTCCAATTCCAGTATATCTTTTTTGAGATGAGGTGATCACATCTGCACATTAAAGATGCAGGTATACCATAGATTTGTATAGAGGCAATGAGATACTATCTGTCTTATTCTCTATCCCTTTCTTAATGATTCCTATCATTGATTGCTTTTTTGACTGCCGCTGCATGAGTGGATGTTTTCAGAGCTAGGGCAAGGTAAATGGGTCAAGGGATTTGTTTGTTATGGAAAGCTTTGGTAGTCTGACAATATATTGTGCTGTATCTAAGTTCAGGTCTAAAGCTTTGTCTATTGCTATGAAAGCTGAGGATGTGCATGTCTCCTATCTCACAAGTGACCTTCCTCTAGTGCAAGGATGAGCAAAATATGGCCTGGGGCCAGATCTGGCCCGCCAAGCCACCAAATCCAGCCCGTGGACCACTTTGCCAGGACCCTCAGACACACAGCTACCATGGTTTAAAGAGCAATTCGTGTGGCTCTCTGCTCTGCAGGAAGGGGGAAGCTTTGTGTGATCTCTTCAGCTCCTATTGCCTGCAAACAACCAGCCAATAAAAAAGGATCCCAGCCAATCTCAGCTGATAGAAGCTGAGAGATTGGCCTGGGGCGGCAACACAAGCCTCTTCCTACTCCCGAATCTGAGAGCTACACGGAGGGAACAACCTGCAGTTTCAAGCAGTCTGGAGCTGCAGCAGGCAGGGAGCCCAGCCTTCCTTGGGGTTTTGCAGAGCTGCTGGCTAGGAGACAGTTAGGTAAGCGCCTCCTAGCCATAGGCCTCCTCTTGTGCCCAGCCCCTTCTGCACCCCAAATCATGCCCCAGGTCACCATCCAAATCCTCTGACTCTCTGACCAAGGTTACTACTCCCTCCCAGACCCTGAACTCCCTCCTTCATCCCTCCCACAAGCCAGAATCCTCTCTGCACCCAAACACCTTCCCAGACTCTGCACCCCATTCCTCTGCCCCAGGTCACTCTCCATAGTCTGCACCCCCTTTTTCCTTTTTCTCGGGTCACAATTCCCTCTCAGACTTTGCACCTGCTCCTAGAGCCCCTCCCCCAGGCCAAAATCTTCTTTTGCACCCATATACCCTCCCTGACCCTGTACTGCAATCCCCTGACCCAGGCTGCAACCACCTCCTTCACCCAAACTCCCTCTCAGAGCTCACACCGTCTCCTGTACCCCAGTCCCTTACCCCGTGCTCCCTTCTGCACTCAACCCCCATTCTAGACTCCATGTCTCCTTCACAGAAAAGTGTGGCCCTTGACCACTTTCCAAAATTTGGAGTGGCCCCCCCACCAACAATTATTGCACACCACTGCTCTAGTGGGAGTCTCATATAGTCTTTCTTTGCTCGAGATCGCATATCTGATGGATTAAGATCTTCCTTCTACATCTCACTTGCCTCCCTCTTCCCCCTTCCCACCAAAAAAAGTCTTCCTCTATATCACATAATTATGTACCAGAAGTTTCTTTTAATTTTCTTAAGTCTGTGTAAAGGAAGAATTGAATGTAGCCATTGGTTTAGGATCAATTGAGTCATTGACAGAAGGAATTCTTAATAGATTAATATATTTAATTTGTCCTTATGACAAAATATGTCCTGTTGCATACTTAATTATACCTAATTGAAGATTGTGTCAAGATGAGCAATGAAGGTATTCATTCATTTATAATGTCTTTTAAATGTTCCTCACTAAATCTGTTGTCACAAATTATTCCCAAGGCATACTCTTCATTTCTGGTAGAAATGTGTATTAGAAAATAAATCATTTTGTAAAATAATTTACATTCATTGCCTATATCTATATCTGTGTATAGTGAGGTAATAATTGATAGGGTTGTCCATATATTAAGTTGCTCTTCTCTTTTAAAAAAGAATACTTAAAAATAATAACAAAGAAAATTAATGACACAAAATAATTTCTAAATAAAATGTTCTTCAGTACTATATGGCGTACCTTGTAATATATTGTAATATATTGTACCTTGTAATATATTCCCCGGCACAGATTGTTTTGCAGTGAAGTTATAGTTAATTACATATCTGTAGCTCAAGGGTAAAAACATTAGAAATTTTCTTTTACGCCAAAACCAAGTTTTAAAAACCCAGAACTTCATTATTAAGCATTGGGCCAAATTAATCTGACAGAAACTTCATGTGAGTGCCTATGTTTGTGTGCATGCATAACTGACTTTATTTCATTACAATACGAAACAGTAATTCTTTCTAAGTTTCTAATGGAATGGAGATGATTTTATTTTTTCTAAACCTCTCTCAATAGACAAAGGATACATATTTAGTAGCAATATAGCTATAAGTCATTGTTTAGATACCATTTAGTTCTCTCTGAAACATTTATTATGATTACGGAAATAAACTTGCATGTTTACCATAAAATTCTCAGCGGGATAGTCGTGTTAGTCTGTATCTAAAAAAAATTAAAACCATTCTTTTTTTTTTATGTTTACCATAAGTTACTTTTCTTTATAAATTAAGGTGTTGCTGCCTTTTTGCCATTATCATCTTTCCACAATATCTACAATTTTTCTAAACCTGTTCACTAATAATTTGGAAGGGATTCTACCCAACTGCCATTGTTTTGAGACTAGATTTAAAAAGTTATGGACGTTCTCATTTATATAATTTTTTAATGATTTGTTCCACATGAATATTTGACCTTGCATAATGATAGCATGGAAAGTCACTATATTTTGGTACTGCTCATAATTGTTGAAATGGACAACATATACATATAAGATAATGTTTTCTTTTTAGTCAAGTAGTAATAATGGATTGGATTTTAACTTAAATTTAGAAATAGTGGTATAGGAATGTAGGACATTTTGCACAGTAAACTAGAGAATCCCTCAAGTTCTGCAAACTGCAGTCAGAATACTGTAATTCTGTTTGAAATGTAGTCTTTCTTTAAGACCGCTGTGGAAACCAATGATTAGTTCTAAGGCTTCCTTCCATTCTGTGAAAATTAGTGACAGAGCTTTAATTATGTGTCTGCGTATTTTATTGATGCTTTCTCTGTTAGCCTTCAGACAAGGTTTGCACTGATGGCAGATTTCCCTAATGCAGTGCCTAATTGCATAATTTCTGACAGTTAACTAATCTCTAAGATGCTTCAATTAGGTTAGTTTCCGTAATAGGAAATCTAATTAAAAGGGAGAGTAGTACTAGATAGAGTTTTAGGGATCCTTTCTAATTTTAAATAAAAAGTAACATTTTTATAAGTCCTTTAAACTATTTTACAACTCTGTCCCAAGGTGTGTGGTGGGGTTTTTTTGGTTGTTGTTTTTTTAAGGGCTTCTAATTATGTCTCTCTTTGGGATGTAAAAAGTTAATCAGTTACATGGTAAACATTGCCCTTACCGGCATGCTTACCTGGTAACCAGAGGGCCACACCCAGCCGGAGCAGCCTCTGCCACAGTGGTCTAGCAGGCCCAGCTGGAGCAGGACTCTGGCTGCACTTGGCCGGGCTGGAGAATCCACATGTGTGCGGCAGGCTGACTGGCAGGACCCTGTCTGCAGCAGCCCCTACCAGGACTAGCCCCCAATGTGGGACCAAAGTCCCAGCTGGTCTACACGAGCTCTCCAATGGTTAAC